ACAAGATTTTAATGTACTATTGACATAATCTCTGTTCAATAACTATACACTAAGGTGATGTGTAAACAACACAGTATTTAAGAGTGGGTTCTAGAATCGTAACAACCTGGTTTCTAATTCCAGTTCTGCCATTTGTAACTCTTTGAAATTAAGCAATGTACCTAATGTTTCTGGGTCTTAGAGATACCTCTTCGATTACATGACATGGATTTAATAATAGCACTTACCTCATAGTTTTAGTTTAAGGATAAAATTAATTAAGATAATGTATGTAAAGCACAGGGCACATTGCCTGACATATATGATGCATAAATAAATATTAATCTTTATTATTACTAGAGTCAAATCTTGATTAATCATGTTAATGAAAGGGTAATAAAACAAAAAAATCTAGTGGCACTGACACTGAATAGTTTTAAATATACAACCTTTGAAATTGTCATGATATTTTAAACTTATTTTTAATTTTTGCCTGATGTCCAGCAGTCTACAACACTTCAAACCAACTAATAAAGCCAAAATGTGAGGGACTGGGCTAAAAAATAAGTCCTTTGTTTAGGAAATAATTCCTTTGTTCAGGAATTATTTTCTGACCAAATGTAAAAAGTCTGCTTTTCTTCTCATATTCTTAAAAACCATCATCATAAATGAGTTGCCCCTTCTCTCTTAATATACAGTTTGTTTAATCTTGGTCTGTATTGGAGGAGTAATTAAGTACCAGGTTTAAAAGGCCTCCTGATGGCCTGCAAAATAGAACTGAAAGAAAACAGATGGTCAGATAGTCACCAACAGATTCTCAATCTGCTTAATTTTATCAGTAAGAAATGAAATATCATTCACCCTTGATAATTCAATTAAATCAGAAAATATTCCTGTAAAAGATATATGTTTGATTGCAAGGTATATATTTTAAAAAAGAATTTAGAGATTAACTACAGAGAATTAAAACATCTGACCTGATTGTGTGTGGGGCTTCACTTTATTTTTTTCACGGCCAACCCAGGAAAGGATTGACCTTAAAGTTTCAATAAATTCCATAATACATTCTTCCTTACAACTAGTTGACTTTTAAGTACCTTTTTAAATGCTCAAGAATCATCATCATTGATAACTGTGTTTCCCAAGCCTCTTTAAGTTAAGTCAAATTATTCCAAAGGCTTCATCATTGCTGTGAAATTTAGGAAGCCAGTTAACAAATAGAGGGCACTAAGTTGAAGGCACTGATCTTGAGTTCCTGCATTTGCCATGTAAAAGCTGCCCAGTTTCCACTATTAAGGACATCCAAAATGCATGTCCAGTCATCTGATGAACAGTTTCTGATTTTGCTTTCCTAAGTTTATGAATAGCTTTAAACAGAATTCAATCAAACCTTGGAAGCTTTGCAAAGACTACTGCAAACATCAAATCAATGTTTGGCTTATAAATACAGAGACAGAGCAGCAAAAATACTTTGTGAACTAAGATGCAATTAACTGAGAATTATAAAGATGAAGAACGGTGGCTTGTCGTTCCATATCTATATTATCTGAATGAAGAAAACACTGTAACTAGTGATTCATGCATTGGCTTTCATGAGTGTTCATTTTACTCACTTGTTTTTATAGCGTGCACAGAATACTGTCATAGAGGGAAAAAATGTATATTTCATTTGTTATATGGACAATCCAAGTAGTTTATGCTTTAGCAATCATAAAAGAGATCATTTTACAAAAGTTATTCCATAAATAAAACCCTCAGAAATTATATATCTACCACAACCTTAAAATTTCTACACCAATCATACCTAGAATGCATAGATGCCACAAAATGGAGATCATTATGGATCTAAGGGAAAGAAGTATAGAAAGAAAACTCCTAAACCAGTTAAAACCAACCTATGTCACTCTAGTAATTCTGACCAAAGGCCAATGTTGATGTTTGCTAAAAGCTATTGAAATTTATTAAGCTATATAAGCTCTGTGCTTACCATTCCTTTTCCCTTAAATGTAAATTTACAGGGTATTACAATCCAAGAAAAATATGCTGTATAATACTGTTATAGTGGATCAAGATATGCATGAACAGTTCTGAACATGCAGAAATCACTTCCCATAGACAGACAATTTGGGAGGTGCATTACTGCTAAATGGTTTCCATAAAAAAGAATAATATTAAGAACTGAATTTTCATGCCTTGACCTATAAAAGATCAGTTCCAAATGTGCATGTCTTCACAATCTCCCTGATCTTGAATGAATAGTCATTTACTCCACTTACTGACATTCACCTTTAGACATACTATCCTTCCTTCACACTAGCTCCTTTTTTTTTCTATTCCCCTATATGTATATACCCACGCAATTGTTCCACTTACAGGACTTACTCCTTTCCATACCTCTCACCTCATGTTGACACTTATCTCCTCATTCCTCCTAGCTGTCATGCATCACTGGGAGGATATATATCTTGGTGATTAAACACATTATTTGGATTCAAACAGCTTGTATTTGACTCAGGCTCTGTGGCTTACTAGTTGTGTGACCTTGAGAAAGCTGTTTAACCTCTTTGAACCTGTATTTCCTGATCTTAAAAATAGAGATAATCATAAAGTCTAATTCATAGGACTACAAATTGTCGAGAAAAAAATGAGATAGTATATGACACACTTAAGTGTTTCTACTATCATTATTATGGTTACTATCAAGAAATCCATTGCAAAAACCAACATACTTGCTTTCATTTCTAAATTTTTGAGAAGCAAGTGTTACTCCTCCATATTGAGGTAGAGTTGAGTACAAATCTGAAGACTTCTTTTAAAAATCAGGCTATGAAGGAAAGGGTATCTTAAGAAAAGGAAAGAATAAGTTAATATTATCATGTAATTCTCATTTATCCTACTCTGCCTGATAAAATATCTAATATTGGTTATTTTTATGACAACTATTAGGAGGAGTCAGAAAACAGTCAGAGATTACCAATACAAAACCAAAAGCTGTCTTTTAAATGTTCTTCAGAGAACTAGACTTAGTCACTTAATAAGAATATCTCATTTTGTTCAATTGTTGTGTTCCCATTATGATGTTTACTGCAAAATTCCTAAATCATATTTTAAAACAAGACTGCATCAATCTTGAAGGAAAACCCTTAGTATTGTAAACTGAAGTGTCCCCATTTATGGTATAAAGAATCTCTTTCTGAAGTATACTCACTTTATACTGTTTTAGTATTATTTGAAAGTGCTGTAAGATTATAATAAAACAAGGATTTATTTCAGCAATATGCAGTAGAACTTTGATGACAGGTTCATCAGAAGTATTACTGCAACAACAGAAAAGTCTCTAATTACCCATAAGAAAATAAAATTGAAACAAAACACAAGTAGCATAAATATTTCTTATTTGCATAGTCTTCAACAATGGAGTCTAAAAATGGGCCTAATAGGAGACAGCAGTCATTTTTCAGGCTCTTAGAAACTTGTCTTAACACAGAGGGAGGTACAATTGTTCTTACATGAATAGAAATTCTGAAAAGAGTTTCTTCTTGAATCTACTTCCGGGGAGGGATAGAAGAATGAGAAAGCAAAGAATAAATTCCAATATTGAAACTGCCTATCACCCAAAGTGAAACTAACTTCCTGATCTGTTCAAGTTAACTAAGGGTTTAACTAAGGGTATTAAACTGGTCTTTAAAATTTTACAATCATTGTATTGGACTTGAGACTCTGAGCAACTCAAATATTACTGTGAAATATCAGAATTAATATATATGGAAAATAATAAGGCAAGAAGCTCATAAAGTGAGGTTCAAAAGCAATATAAAAAGTTTTCTTTTTTTCACCCTAACTTTGCTCAGAAAATGTAAGGTTAAGTATTCTATTTCAAAACTGTCTAAACAACCCACACAAGGTGGCCAGAAAGACAAAGTTAAATGTTCAATCAAGGTTCTTGTGATTTCACACAACCTTCAGTTCTACTCCAAAATCCCTTAGGGGGTAAATAAATAAAACAAAAACATGGAAAAGCTGCTGCTCTAAAGCTCAGAAGATGTAGTTGAACCCACACATCTGTTCTTGCCACTGGTGGCTTTTCTCGAGTTGTGAAAAACAGAGACACTTTCACTTATTATGAATATACACTCAGCTTTCACCCCATTTTATCCTTTTGCTATCCATAGCTGCTGAAAAAATTTTATTATAAATTAAGAGCATATGAATGGGGGGGGTCCTATCATTTGTAGAAGCAGCAACTTCAATCTGCCACTACACAAGAAGCTATTCCTTAGTTCCCTTTCAATTTTTCAATGTATTTGAAGCAGTTAGGAACCTAGGAACTGTTAGAAGTAAAAATCTTTTGAAAGAAAACAAAAGTCAAAATAAGGGACAATATGGAGGGGAAAAAACAGATCCCTCATCCTTAATTTTTTAAAAACTCATAACTTTGTATCATTGTTCCCAACTTCCCCTCCCATTCTGTCTAGTTCTAACAATTTTTAGACTGAAGTTAGACACCCTCACATACATACTAGCAAAATAACTCTTTGATTACAGGGTTATTACTCTCTGAAAATAATCCCAATGCCTCAGTAGGCCTCCACTCAGTCATTAGAAGTTAGAGCATGTTTTACATCCTTTACAGATGTGCAAGTCTGTCCCACGCTTCAGGAACTAGAGTACTTATGTCAAATGTCCCACTTTTGAAACACACAGTGTGTGATTTTTACCTGACTTCTTCGACTAACCTTAAAAACCCTCGGCCACCAACTCTCATCTAAAACCCGGTAGCTTTCTTTTGCCTTCAAAGAAGAAACGTGGCCCTAACGTCACAAGACAAACAAAGCTAAATTCCATGGAAAAATGAAATCGATGTAACAAAGGGACGAAAGGAAAGAAGGGGGTGGGGTTGGGGGGTAAGAGTGTCTTTCGAAACAGAAGCTGCCAGACAAACTTCTGCAATTTAACGGTTCTGGGCGGCAGAAGACTGGTGTGTGGGGAAACATAAAAGGTGGGCTCCCCACATTCCTTACCGCTGTAGAGCCGGAGGAAGATGCAATATACACACGGATCACCATCCTGGGAACAGCGGCTGCGGTTGTTTGGGTCCTGCAAATGGCTGGAGAGCAGCTGCAGCAAACACTGGAATTGAGCTAGGGGCCGAACAGAGGTTGGAAGAGAAGGGTGGGGGAATGTGGAAAGGAAACTCGCCAGAGCCCCGCCTCCTCCCTTGGCTGCTTTTACTGGGCTGGGAGCTCTGCAGTCCCTGCCCCAAATCCCGGAAGGCAGAGGCTTGTTTGCATCATTTCTTTTTTTTTTTAAATACGGAATCTCGAATAGCACCGCGAGAACTGTTGAAACATTTCTTTTTGACTATTGTCTCCCCGAGAAGAGGAGTAGAAGAAACAGAAAAAGAGCGTTTATTTAAATTAGATTAGAATGGAGAACCTTTTCCCACGGAGACTAAAAGTTCTGCGTTTATCTTTCTGCTCAAAAAATGTATGCAAATAAGAAGACAGATACTCCTTGAAAGAGGAAGCTGTGTGTTGAATTCAGACACTAGTAAGAAAGCCCATGCTCTCAGAGCCTTGTGCATTTTAAGACTCTTATTTATTTTGTACTGATTGTTCTGATGTTAGCTTGTGGCAGGAATTGGGCACTGAAGGACTGAGCGATGCCACAGAAGGTTTTAAAAAGTTTCAGGTTTCCCTAAGCCCAGAAACAGCAGGATTGGTTTTCTTTTTTAGCTTTGCTTTTTGTTAAGATAGGGAATCCTGCATCTGTGAGAATACATAGGAAGACTGATTGACTGGCAAACTCAAGAATGGAGGAAGAAATTGAAAACCTAAATAAATAAATAAATAGTGTTAGAAAGTAAATTAATTTTGTTTTGTTTTGTTTTGTATTGTTTGCTTAATAACTGACTGAGGAAAGGGAGTTTGGATCCTATGTTGTAGGAGATGTTGAAACGGTGAACAGAGAGAGAGCAAATGGCTATTTGTAGCTCTAGAGAAATGAGCAACCATAATGTCCAGAGAGAGACCATATACTTCAGACTGTAATTTCAAATTTCCAAATTATGTCAAATGAACAGAATTAAGGAACTTGCAAATTAAGTGGTTAGAAGGAGTCAGTCACCTGTCCTACTTCTTTACTTTTCCTTTGCAGTTTGTTTCCCTCTATATTCCAGTGGTTTTATCACCGTTTCCTAGGTTCAGCGATTGTAGTAGCTTCATAACTTTTCCCTGTTCACAGGTTCTCCCTTCTCCAGTTAATGTGATCCATAGAACAACCTTGAGAAGTGGATATTATTACATCATGTTTATAGAAGGAACTGAGACTCAGGAAAATAAGTAATTTTCCCAAAGTCATATAGCTAGTAAATTCCAGAGTAAGGACTAGAACTCAAGTACAACCAACTCCAAAGCCAACCCTCAAACATAATTGTAACACACTGCCCAGAACAGGGAAAGTACTCAGTAATTAATTGTCAACTATTTTTTTACTAAAACATCACTTTTATATGGCACTAAAGACAATGTAGGTTCAAATACTTAACATAGTTCTTCATTGACTATCAAACCAAACCTACATTATGTTTTTAAGTAGCTTCCATCATAATTTGGCCCTACACCATTCATACAGTATTCATTGCTTCCCTAAATTAACCTCCCTGCATAATCATTGTTGACTCCCCATTGCAATCACAGTACTTATTTTCATGCCTTTGCTCTTCTTATCCCTTTATTCATCTTTTCCACATCCTCATACTCTTTTCTGCCTTCCCCATCTGTCCAACTCTTGCTTTTTTAAGACCCAATTTTAAATTGTTATACAAATTACCCACAGGGTAATGTAGCCACCCTTATCATTGTCAACATCAGAGTGAATGCTCTTGTGCCTCCCAGGCCACAGGACAGGAAAATCTGTCATAAGGTTTTGATATGGCAAAATGGACATCATTTGCCATATACTAGCATAGCCCAAACATCCACCCCTTAGTGGTCAACATGTATTCTATTTTGACCTATAGTTTATTTTGAATTGGTGAAAAAATTAAGAAAAAAAAGGAAAAAATATTCTATTTATTCTACATGTCCATATGACAAAATTAATATCTCCAGAGAACTGAATGTCAGGATTAGCAATGAGTCCAGTGAGACTTATCTGGAACTTTGAGAAATGGAAAAATGATTCCTGATACTTCATTACTTTTAAATACAGATATATTAATCTAAGTAAAAATTTCCCCAATAAATTTATACATAAAAAAATATGCCTTGTTGAGGGTGGCGGGCTTTACCAGTGTTTTTGCCCTAGAAATTGACATAATAGATTATATTAGACTGGCTCCCTACTATATTCACCCATCCCTGGAAAGTATACTCTAGAATAGCCATTTTTGTTTTATTTTACTCCTTCATAGAGCTGTCCCCAAAACCATTTGTTCATATAATTTGACTGAAAAGGTTAAAGCTTGATTAAATAAGATGGATCAAAAACTTTGCAAACCGTATTTGTGACCTATTGCCATAAGAAATCTAATTATTATTATTTTTAATTTATTTTCATTGTTGAAAGTATTATGAATGTCCACTTTTTCCCCTCATTGACCCCTACTACCCCGCACCTACTTCACTCCACAGGCCTTCATCACACTATTGTCTGTGTCCCTGGGTTATGCATATAAATTATTTGGTTAATCTCTCCCCTCCCACACACCCAGCCCTGCTTTCCCTCTGAGATTGGTCAGTCTGCTCCATGCTTCTGTCTCTGGATCTATTTTGTTCATCAGTTTATTTTATTCTTTAGATTCCACATATAAGTGAGATCATGTGATATTTGTCTTTCTCTGCCTGGCTTATTTCACTTAGCATAATATTCTCCAGCTGCATTCATGCTCTCCAAAGGGTAAGAGATCCTTCTTTACAGTTGCATAGCATTCCATGGTGTAAATGTCCCACAGCTTTTTTATCCACTCATCTACTGATGGGCACTTGGGCTGTTTCCAGATCTTAGCTATTGTAAATTGTACTACTATGAACATAGGGGTGCATATATTCTTTCTGATTAGTGTTTCAGTATTCTTAGGATATATACCTAGAAGTGAGATCACTGAGTCAAAAGGCAGTTCTATTTTTAATTTTTTGAGGAACCTCCATACTGTTTTCCATAGTGGCTGCCCCAGTCTGCATTCCCACCAGCAGTGTACCAGGGCTCACCTTTCTCCATATCCTTGCCAGCATGAATCATTTGTTAATTTATTAACCAAATGCTGACATTTTTCAAAAATTATAAAATAAATGCATGCTGTGTGCAGAAAACTTAGCAAACATTGAAAATAAAAAATCATCCCTACCCTCAATATCTGGAGATAACCACTTTTTAATATGTTGATGTAAGCCCTTCCAGGCCTAGTCAGAGATAGATAGATGAGGGTGGGTATGAGGATTTGAGAGAAGTGGCAGGAAAGGAAGAGAAAGAGTAAATATATTTTTAAATGTATTTATTATAAAATATATACTATTTTATAAATGACTCATTTTCAATTAGAAAATATATTTTAAAAATTATACAGAGAATGAAAAACAGTATGGGGTTACCTCAAAAATTAAAAATGAAACTGCCTTATGACCCAACAATTCTACTTCTGTTACTTTACCCAAAGAAACCTGAAACACTAATTCAAAACAATATATGCACCCTTAGGTTCATTGCAGCATTATTTACAACAACCAAGATTTAGAAACAGTCCAAGTGTCCATCAGTAGCTGAGTGGATAAAAATGTGAGGTACATTTACACAATGGAGTACTACTCAGCCATAAAAAAGAAGGAAATCTTACCTTTTGAGACAGCATGGATAGACCTGGAGAGCATTATGCCAAGTGAAATAACCAGTCAGAGAAAGATAGGTACCATATGATCTTACTCATATGTTGAATCTAATGAACAAAATGAACCAAGAAGCAAAATAAAGACAGATTCATTGATGGAGAGCAAGCTGACAGCTGAGGGGAGAGTGTTGGGGAGCTGGGAGTGGAGGGATTGAGCAAAAAAGAAAAAAAATCTCATGGACATTGACAACAGTGTGGTGATTGTTGGGAAAGGGGATGTGCAGAGATGGAGGAGGGGATAGTGGTGATACATGGTGATGGAAGGAGACTTGATTTGCACTGGTTAACACACAATAGAGTGTATAGATGATGTGTTGTGGAATTGTGCACCTGAAACCTGTATAATTTTGGTAACCGGTATCACTCCAATAAATTCAATAGAAAGGAGAAAAATTGTAAAGAGCAAAATAAATAAATAAATAAATAAATAAATAAATAAATAAATAAATAAATAAATAAATTTATACAGAACACAGACCGGTGGTTGCCAGAAGAGAGGGGTGTTGGGGTACTGGGTGAAAGAGGTGAAGAGATTAAAAAATACTAACTGGTAGTTACAAAATAGTAATTGGAATGTAAAGTACAGCATAGAAAATATAGTCAATAATTTGTAATAACTGTGTGTGGTGCTAAGTGCGTACTGGAAATAATGGTGGTAAGATTTTGTAAAGTATATGATTATCTAACCACTATGATGTAAAACTGAAACTAATACAAAATAATATTGAATGTAAACTGTAATTAAAAATAAAGTAAAATAAATTATCTCATGTCAGAAAATATGATTTTACAAAATGATTTTTTATGGCTTTATATGATTCCATTTTATAGATATATAAAAGTTATTTAAACAATTCTGAATTATTAAACGTATTGCTTGTTTTCAATTATTCTGTATTGTAGTTAGTGCTGAAGTATATTTTTATCAGTAATTTTTTTCCCACCTGTCTAATAATTTCTTCAGAATAAATTTTTAGATGTGGAATTCCTTGCAAACTGAATAGGCATTCTAGCTTACTGTTACAATATTATAATTCGCCCTCAATAATGCCATGGTCTAGAATGCAAAAGATATTAATTTGATTGAAGAAGTAGCTGATATTAACCCAATCACAAGAATTTTACCCCCTTTTCCTCATTTTTTTCCTGATAAAAGTCCCTAACATTCAGCACTTTTCTAAGATGGCAGGTAAGGTCTTACAAATACTTCACTGCCCCTTTTTCGTTTTGATGGGTCAGGTACTCGTACTGGTAATGGTGTCAGATTGAGTACAGCACTACCCAAAATATACATTTTGGTTTACTGTTA